TGAAATTCTTGATCTAAGCATCTTACCTACCCAATCCTGTGTTTCAAACACATCTCATATACAGAATTCTTTTCAATACACAAATCAGGACCCAGAGACAGTATAGGAAATAGCCAAGTAGAATTTTCAGGAAGTATCTCATTACCCTGGTCCTTGAGCTCTGTAATTACTGTTCCGGTTCCTTCAGATTTATCCAATTCTATTCCTTTCTTGTGCATAATTTCCTGTGTTTTAAAGCACAAACATTCGTCAGTTGCAATTATGCATCATTGGATGATGGGAGCATCCAAGGAGAATGCCAAGCCCCAGTTTCAACTCATTTCACCAGACAGGGACCTGCAGCCCATGAGCCACAGCCATCGGCACAAGCGAGGAAGATGACTGGGACTGAAACAGTATGTGTGTTCCTTGGTGTTGCCCTATTACATGGAAGAGGGGCAGAGAATGATTTTTGCCTGCTCTGTGACTTTTTGCACACTTGCTTTCAAATCTGGTGATCTGGAGATATAAATCTGTAGCTGGTAGCGAGGCATGTCTCTTGCCCCTTGCAATAATTAAGAAAAAGATGATGAGGCAATAAAAGAACTGAGATGATTCCTCCTTTCTCCTCCTGGGATGTCGATGTTAATATGAATGTGAATGTTAATGCAATATAATTTCCATCGTGTTGTCCTCTTGACCCAATGGGTGTGTGTTTGTTTTTCTATATGTATATTGCTGAGGTTCAAAAGAGTTGCGACTTTCCAGTTAATTTTTAAAAATTATGGTTTATATCTAGCAGTCACTTGTGCAGAGAGAGAACACACTCTAAAATTTCCTTTTCTGTTTTCCTTAAGGGATCTCAGGCTGTTGCAAAAGAAAAAACGGTTTTAGGCTCTCTCACATGGCATTGGGGATTGCCACTGAAAGGAGGGACAGAGAGAAGTAAATGGAGAGATAGACTAAGGGAGCACATATGCTTAACGGAGATTCAAGAAGAGAGGAATTCAGTGGTCTGAGAACTGTTTACAGAGAACAGAGGCTTTAAATGTCTCTCTCTCTCTCTCTTTCTCTCTCTCTAAGTATAAATATATAAATGTGTGTGTGTGTGTGTGTGTGTGTGTGTGTGTGTGTGTCCTAAGTATTCGTATAACCTGAGTTGACTTTTGACTATCGAGCTCTTGAAATATCCTTGGAAATTTCTTCATGTTAGATTTTAACCAAGACAAACAGCTGATATTTCTTGGGTTTGCCTCTTTCTTCTTTGTCTTGTTTGCTGTAAAGTAAAGGTACCTTTCCAGTTCAGGTTAACCAAGAATATGACTCAACCAAGGATGCACGAGGTGTCTGCAAAAAGTTGAAAAGTACATTTCATAAGGTGCAGAAATGCCCCAAACCCCAGACACAGCTCAAGGAGAAAAGAAAGTTTTGCTAGCCATTAACAAGATACAACTCACATGTTTGTTCCACCAAATTTTCGGGGGTCTTAGATTGTCAGCTATGTATACACAATGACCAAAGGGCCTCATGTGCCTCCATCACACATGAAAGAAGACAGGGAATAAAAATCCAAGGAAGCGAAATGGGTCAATAAGAAATAGGTACTCCCCAAATGTCACACAAATATCCAACCGAGAGGGGATGGTTTCCTGACCAGGAATGCAACTCATGACGTCGAGGTGAAAGCACAGAATTTGAAGTCTCAGGCCACAAGGTAGAGTGACCTTCACTGTTATTCCTACAGGGGCAGTTTGAGCAGACACAGGAGTTTATCTATGTTTTCATCATATTTTTTGCTCTTCACTTTTGTCAAGCAAAGTTTTAAGGCTAGCCGTGACACCATCCTGTGTCTTTTCATACATTTAACCTTTATATCAAGCGGTTAGAATAAGAAAACTCTAAAATCCTTTAAATAAAATTTAGGAGGCCAATTTCAAGGATCGGTCTTTTGGCCATTGGCAATCAGAATTCTCAATAGTGTAGTGAAGTTCAGTAGCAACTGCCCTCTTCAGAGAAGGAGTAATCCCAAAGATGCCCCCCGTTCCCAGACATAGGCTAAGATAACAAATGACTCCTGGGATTGCAATTTGCCAGCTCATGCTAGCTAGACAGCGGTCCCCAACCTTTGTGGCACCATAGACCGGTTTCATGGAAGACAAGTTTTTCATGGAACAGCACTGGGGGTATGGTTTTGGGAGGACTCAAGTGCATTACACTTATCATGCACTTTATTTCTATTTTTATTCTATTGTAATATGTAATGAAATAATTTTACAACTCACCATAATGTAGAATCAGTGGGAGCCCTGAGCTTGCTTTCCTGAAACTAGTTGGTCCCATATGGGGGTGATGGGAGACAATGACAGATCATCAGGCATTAGATTCTTATAAGGAGTGGTATGCACCCTAAATCCCTCTGTAACCAATACATCTATTAGACTCCTGACCCCTCATCTCTCTCCTACTTGAAGATGGGTTCTTTACTGGGGTACTCAAGTTAAATTACATTCGTTACGGTGGGCTCTAACCAAAACGTCTAGCGTGCATTGTGGGTACCAACGGGAAATTCAGACACAGAGACATGTGTACAAGGAAGGAAATGTGAAGTGGCATTGGGAGAAGTGGGTCATCCTCAAGCCAAGGAAAGATCCCTGGAAGAGATCCTTCCCTTTTACTCCTCAGAAGTAACCAACCCAGCTGGCTAAAGAGGTGAGGCATGTAGCTCATGGATCCAATAAACCATCTCGGCAGAAGTTGGGAATTGACATTTGGGTATTCAAGGAAGATCTTGTCTGATGGCCTGGACTCATGTGAATTCCATGGGAAGCCAAAAAGTTTTTGAGAATTTTATACCAGAAAAAATGTTGTGAGAATGAACTGAATGGGACAAAGATGGCTGAAATGGAAAGAAGCTGTTAGAGTTCCTGGATTGTATAGGCAAGGAAGGGGCTGACTGAGGTACCCAGCTGTGACCATTTCCTCATATTCGAGAAGAGGAGGAAGGACTCCAAAGTTGGGTCAAAGGTTGGCACGGCCGTCACCTCCCCCCGAGAACCAGGGGCACAGTACTAGGGGGCTGGGCCATCTCTCTCGGTCCCAGAAACGGATGTCACCTCCTGAGTTCCAGGCATTTGTCCCACCTCCTCGGTTTCAGAGGGATGGGCTGCAGCAGCCCAGGCTGGGGTGAGAGCCTTCACTCAGCTGCCCAGGACTTAGGGTGTGAAGCTGTTACCCCATTGGGCCTCAAGGACAGAGCATTGAGCCCAAGTAGAATCTTTTCTTTCCACAGAATCTGACGGAGTTTGCCCCACTATGTTTCAAACTTGCCTAGGGCTCACGAAGTCAAGTACTTTTGCTGAGTTCCTGCTTTTGGTATGATAAGCCCTATCCGGTGCCAGTCCCACAGCTGTATTTCAGAAGCAGATAACTTGTCTAGCTTCACAGGTGCAGTGGCGGAGAGAATTCCCACCTCAGCATGACTCAGACCTGAAGACTCACCCATTCCAGATGGAGAAGATTTTCAGGTGAGATTTCGGATAATTGATTTTGGAGTGAGTTAAGCCTTCGGGGAGGTTGTGAGGAAATGAATGTGTTTTCTATGTGAGGACCTTAATTTGTGCTGTGGAGTGGATGCAGGAGAAGCACTGTTATGGATGGAGTTTTGTCCCCGCAAACTTCACATGTAGAAGTCCTGGCTCCCAGTGTTTTAGAATGTGACCTTATTTGAAGAGAGTCTCTACACAGGTCATCTGGCTAAAGCGAAGTTATGAGGGTAGACCTAACCAAGGAGATTGGCCTCCTTACAAAAATGTGACAATTGGTATCCAGAACTGTGAGATAAAAAATAAACAGTGTTTCTTGGACACAGGGAGAGGAATACCACACACCGGTGCCTGTCGGGGGCTAGGGGGCTAGGGAAGGGAGAGCATTAGGAGAAATACCTAATGTAGAGGACGGGGTGATGGATGCAGCCACCACCATGGCACATGTATAACTATGTAAGAAATCTGCACATTCTGCACATGTACCCCAGAACCTCAAGTATAACTTTAAGAAATAAGAAAATAAATAGCGTTTAAGTCAGCCAGTCTCTGGAATATTTTCGCATCGGCCCTAGAAAACTAATAGAACATCTCCATCAACGGCATTAAAAGCATACAAACCAATCGAAGAACCAACGAAGCACAACCATCCAATCACAGGTTTCCCCTTCAACTCCAACTGAACATCCCTGGACAACTCACTCTTACTAGTTCAGACCAGGACACCTGATCCCACTTTGGGCTGTGGCTCCTGGGCTGCAGGTGCCTCACTGGCTGAAAGGGATCCGAGTGGAGCTTCTGCTGCTCCATCAGACAACATTCCATCATCCCCATGATGCGTAGAGGCCAGTCATGAAGGTTTTCACAAACAAAAGATTCTAGCCTGAAGAAGAGCAGAATCAGAGAAATCTAAACAAGTGAGATTCCAATTCTAGGGAGCCTAGAATAGGAATTGATCCTTACACTTTTGTAGTTTTTTCTGTGCAGTGTTTGGATCATTGCTTCTCTTTTGAAATGGACTCCATGGTACAGGAATGCTGACAAAAAGATTGATTGGACTATACTGCTCTGATTCATACTATTTTTCCTACATTGATATTTCTTATTTGTTATTTAAGCAGTAAAGCCATTTTCCTTACTTTGTGTTTTCAGTAAGCCACAGCAAGACATCAGGATTGCTCACTAAGTTCCCCTGCTTCTCAATCACCCACTGAAATGCTGTATCAAAGGCGTGAGCCTCCTCTTCCGATCATCCCATCAAACTACCCTTTTGCTCTTTCTTCCTATAATTCATCGGCATCAGTCCCCTTGAACTCCCACTCTCCACAGCCCAACCAGGGTTCATTGTGGGCCCTGTGTTACTAATGCTCCTCTTTGATTTCTGAATTTACAGATAGAAGCCACACACTCCAGGGTAAAATATCGCAGTGGATTTGGTTTCTGAAAAAGACTTATCAAATTACTCAGTGGATATGCAAGGATAACTTTCGAAATTTATTTCTATGTCCTACTTGACAGAAAAATTGTCACTTTAAAGCAAAACAATTAGCATAATGAGAATTAAGTTACTGAGTGAGATGTGGTGTTTTGGATCAGGTACACAGCTCTGTCTCTGGAAAACAACAGGGATCTGCAAAGCATCTTTGGTTTTCAAATTGTTGTTTTGCACAGGTAGGAACACTTGTCGGCATCTTGCAGAGGGATTTCATTGCGGCTGATTTTGTGGTGGTGTTTCTTGGTCTCCTAACGAGGTGAGCATTTTTCTTCAACTATTTTCATAACACGTTTCTAATAGTCTGGAAAAACAGAAAACAACAAATCCCGATGAGAGGACTTCTTGATTCTACATCCTTTCTCTTTGGATCCCAAGTGGAGCTCTGGAGATGACCTTCTACCCCTTCCCATCTGCACTACTCAGGGAAGCTCTGGCTTCTATCCTGCTCTGCGCTCATTTCCATCTTGACCAAGCGGTCCTTCCCTCAAAGGTAGAATAATCTATGTGGCTATGTGTTGGGTCCCTCTGGGGTGGTTATTTCCCACTTCTGAGGGACTCAAGAAAATTTTGATTTTCGTGATTTACCAGCTTTTGTTTCATGGTTTGACTGAGAGTACCATCCTTTACAGGTTTCTACATATAAAGGAGAAGGGTTGTTTATGAGTTGTTTCAAAATTTGTGGGAATCATTTGACAGAAATGATCACATATTGAGCTTCAAGGCACAAAATAACAAATTCCTATGGGTGGCAATCCCAGAGTAGATTTTCTTGTCCCCATGCTCGGATGGCTGGAAATCTATTTAAAAGAAAAGCAACGAGAAAGCCACCAGCTGCTCTGAAATTCTGCAATACACTTATAGAAGAAAATGCTAAATATACAAAGACTTGGGACCCAGAAGAAAGCACAATGAAAAGCAGCCTATACTAACATTAACATGAATAAGCAAATCTCCGGAGGAAATAAGTGTCATCTTACTTCTCCTGAAGGCTGACCATGCTCTGCATAACTTGATGCCAGGGGCAAGGAACATAGAATACCCCTAGCTTTGGATTCATATCCTTAAATGACCGTGGTTACAAACACTGAAAAGAAAAATGTCAGGTAAAGAATCACACCCCTGTGCCTTGAAACACCAGGGTGAATATCACAGGAAGGCTGTTGTGGGTACAGCCTCGGTCACGCCCCACACGTTGGGACAATGACTGTTGCTCACTGCCTGCACCACTGAATACTAGGGCATGAGCTGTTTGCCTGGACTCTCCCTGAGCCCACGGACACAAACCTGGAACTAACGAAGGTTTCTGTTCAAAAAGAAATGAAAAGATTATTGTCAGGGCAAAAAAAAGAATGAACTGCAATAGTGATGTCAGAGTTGAGGCAGCGGGAAAATGAGTGGATTCTTGAAAATTTTGTTTAGCTATATGTACACTGTAACTGGGCCTCACTTGCTTATTTACTTGGATTCGTGTTGGGAGAAATGTTGAAAACGTTTGGGGGGGTTACCTTGGTTCTTCTATCAACGTATTCACTTTTTCTGTTGCTGTAGGGCATATACTGAAGTTCTGGAAAATTCCACCATTCAGTCGCAGGAGAATGAGAGTGAAAAGGGTAAAGATCAGTACATTGATAACATCACCGTAAAGATAACCTAGAAAGAAAACTAATAAAAATGACCATTTAGGAAACTGAGGAAATGAAGCAGGATCGAGGAAAAACCCACTACTTTTCCTTGGAGCAAATGGCACTACAGATATATCGGAGTTGACAATGTCTAGTACTGAGGGAGAAATGCTTGAAAAATCGCAGGACGCCACATGCCACATGCCCCCCCCCCCCACCAACCCGAATTCGAAAGAACGCCATCCACCCCAACCGCCGCTGCCCCCCGCCCCTTGGGGAGCCACTGGTCTTTCCGTGGTGCTCAGGGGCTCCTGAGGTAGCTCACTTGCTCCTGGTGTACCTGAGAACAGCCTTCGTGCCCTCGGACTCGGCGAGCCTGCCCATCTCCCCCGGCAGCAGCAGGCGCACGGCGATCCGGATCTCCCAGGCGGTGATGGTCACGTGCTTGGCGGAGCGGGCCAGGCGACCTGCCTCGGAGGCGACGCTGTCCAGTATGTCATGAACCATAGAATCCATGACACTCACGGCCTCCCGGGAAAGGCTGAGGCCCTGGTGAACCTGCTTCAGCACCAGGCGGAAATAGGTGGCGAAGCTGTCCCCGCGGCAGTTGGCTTGGCACCGGCGGGCCCCTCGGCGCCCTCGCTTCCTCTGCTTGCTCTTCTTCTGGGCCGTTGTGGAGTTGGCCTCTTTGGGCTCCTGGGTGATCACTTGTTCCTCAGAGGTCGTCTCAGAGGAAGTTCTAGCCATGGCGGAGGCAGCGGCCATTAGATGGCAAGAAGAGGCGATGGTGGTTGTGGACGGGGACAGACAATGGCGATTGTGAAGCGGGGACGCTTGGGTACGCAGCATGGCTCCACCTCACGGGCCAACTTGACATGTGATTGGATCAAGTGAATGAAGTCACAGAGGGACCCTGTCAGCAAACCTCCCTGCATCGAAGGTGACTGGATGGTCCCGTTGCTTGGCATCTCGTCAACCAATCACAGGGGGCGTCTGCCGGCCTAGGCGCCCCCTGTGGCCTACGTCGGAGGCAGTTACACAGATGCCTCACAGGGCAAAAGCGCATCAGCCCTCCTGAGCTGATATATGACACACCCTGTGCACTTTGAAGGGTGTCACTGAAAACTCCCAAAGTTCAGCAATTTCAGCTCATGCTCCTTGAAGAGAGACAGGCCTCCTGAGCCCAAGGCCATTATGCCGATGCCAGAGGAATGACTGTATCCACGTGTGGACCGTTTCTCACCCATCGCACAATCTACCGTTATCCCTGGCTAAGCCACTCCGGCTTTAGCAGGAACTCCCCGATATGGCCGCCAAAGGCTCCTGGGCATAAAAGGACCTGCCGGTCTCGCTGCTGTCTTCAGTTCTGATCAACATCTTCAGTGAATCGGGAGAACGAGAAATGGCCATACCACAGCCTCCAAGCCGAGAATAGAAACGGAAAGGTGCTTTTATTTAAAACATATAACGACACTTAACATTGACCAGATTTAAACC